AGAAGAAGAAGAAGATGTACACCAGCAACGACCACCCTTATCCTTCCAACCACTCTCGTCCTCCTTTTCTCCTCCCCTCTTATTCAAACAATAAATAATAATAATAATGTTGAATGGCTGAACCAGAATCAATGTCTGAATCTCTCTTCTACTGCAGGTATTACATGAGGTCCACCATAACCATGGCCGCCCTTCTCCTTCCTCCTCAAAGGCCGAGGTTATGGCGGACTACTAGGGCATTGCCCTTCTGTGCAAAGGACAACACAAAGCAGCTATGGCTGCTCCTGTTCAGGCTTCCATGCCTGACTCTGCCTCGAAGCTTCTTGGTGCAGCGCTACCCCAGCGGGGCCTTCCAGATGCAGCGTCCACCAAGGTGATGAAGATGGTGTCCACCATAGCCACAGTGGAGAGCTGGGCGCTCCTCCTCCTCCAAGCGCTGCTCCGCCCGTAGCTCTAGCAGCGGGTCGCCCAACTTGCACGCCAACAAATGAGGAGCACTTCGCTCCTCCTGGAGATATAGCGGCCTGCTTGCCTCATGGGCGGTGACTTCCTAGGCCGCGCGGCCTCCAAGCAACTGGTACCTCCTCGCTTTCGGAGGGAAACATCATTGCAGACTCTGACTATGTAACCGTTTGAACGCCATGAACGAGCGTTTTCGCCAAAAGGACCGGCCCTTCGGGCCCCCCGCACGGTCAAGTACCCTTGCGGGTCACACACAAACTCAAACCGATAACGCGAAGCACGCACACACTCAGACTTAGAAAACTGAGCAACAAGCGGGAAACTCAGCAAGGCATACATTCCATTGGCAAAACTCAGAAATCAGCTGNGCGAAGCACGCACACACTCAGACTTAGAAAACTGAGCAACAAGCGGGAAACTCAGCAAGGCATACATTCCATTGGCAAAACTCAGAAATCAGCTGTGTGTCTCAGTCCGTGTTTGGCAGGTCCTTACAGTCTCATCTTTTTTGCAGTCCGGTTCATTCGGCACGGTGCTGGTTCGTGGAAATCAAGTAGTGCGTTGTGTGGTGAAGAAGACAGCCCTAGCTGGTGTAGAAGGGCAAATCGAGTTGCCCTCTATTAGTTTTGTATTTCCTGTTATTTTTGGAGTGRSATCGCGCTGTAGCTGTAGTGGCAGGCGCTCGTTAGAAGGAGAGCTTTTGCTTGGTGGTGAGTGAGCCATTGAGAGGGAGCATCATTTCSATGATCAGGGAGAGATCCTGTGTGGGAGAGAAGGAGACATGCTTGTGGTAGTAGAGATTGTAGCACATGACGTCTGCRTTGAACTCTGATCCGCATCTGTGATAGCAGCGATYGACAGGGGTTGCACCGTGGGAAGTTACACTGAAGTTCACCTTGTGCTTGTGGGGACAAGTTGTGTTGGCCTGTGACCTTGAAATTGCAAGTGTGTGAGACGTGGGGACTGCCCCACCATAGCTACAC